TGGGCTGGAGGCAACTGGGGTCCCTGGCCCTCCAGAAGGCAGGAAGACCAGTCTTGAGGCCACTCAAAGACCAGGAGAACAAGACCCATGGGCACGGTGGGGACTTTCTGGATCCAGCCTGTGTTCACTCATTGGCCTCAGGTGAATGTCCTGTCCTGTGTGCAGCAACTTTCTACCCAGGACTGTCAGAGAATCAGGGGGTGTCAGTGAGACAGCAGGATGGTTGTAGTGTTGGTCACACAGTGGCCCTGGATAAACTGTCTTTATCTCCACTTTGTTTTGGATGTGTCACGCCCTCCCAAGCAGTCACCCTGATGAGGATACGAAGGGCAGGGACAGACGCCTGTAATTCAAGCAGAGCCCCTGGTACTCGGGGCCTGTTGTCCAGGATGGTGCGGCCTTGAGGAAACCTCATGAGTACAATGAGCACACAGCACAATCGTGAGGCCGATGGCCTTTGCAATCATTGTGCAATTGCAGCTTCCATTGATCAGGCACTCACGTGCCAGGCTCTGCTGCTCACTTGTGTGTCCTCCCCACAGCCCTGTAGGGCTGGTGGCTTTAAGGTCCCCAGGGCATGGAGGAGACTGAGTCTCAGGGGTCAGGTCAGGATGTCAAAGTCACAGAGCAGCATTCTGCTCCATCTCAAACACATGCTCTGAGCTGCTGCTCTACTTGTAAGTTACTGAGATTTCTTATTTTAGAAACACACTCAGCAGCCCTGGCTGCACTTTTGCTCTGGTGAAGGTGCTGGGGTGGAGGGGTGAGCGCCCCCAGGGACCATGAGTGTCACAAGTGTTCACCCAGCAGGGAAGAGTCCTCTAGACACTGTGGCCTGAGACTTAGTGTCCAGGGGTGACGTCAGCACGATGGCGGAGCAGGAAGCGCTGACCCTGATCTCTCAAGCACCGAGACGCGGCCCTGGGTCCCCAACGCGATGTGGAGCAACCCCTGGGAAAGAGCCCTAGAAAGCAGGTAGGCAGCTGAGCCCCAGCCGGGACGCTGGGAAAGTGGGTGGCACTTTGCTCGCCTTGCCCCTCCCCCCCGCGGCTTGGAGGTCCCGAGGAGGAAACCCCGCAATTCCCGCTCCTCCCTGGGGACAGACAGGAAGAGTGGAAGCTGCGTGCAGCTTGTGGGGCCGCGGGCCTGGCCGCCTCACCTGACTCGCAGTGCGGACCCGCCCAGCGCAGCGCTAGGATCCAGGTGGAGGCCCCGGCAGGGCGGCCGCGGCTGCAGTTCCGCAGGCGGGCGCGGGGGGGCGCCAGAGGCCTGGCCGAGGACGGAACACGGGTGGGAGGGTGAGCCCGACTCTCTGAGATGGTTTATGGGTACAGGGCTTCTGCTTTTACCCTCATGCTCACACATGCACACACACACACACACACAGAGAAACACCACACAGAAATCTACACACCCACAAAGCCACCCACACTCAAACAAAACTCTCGTGAAAACACAAACTCACACTTGCACTCAAAGCGCACAGATTCTCAGACACACACACACACACACAGGCACACCCAGCACCAAGTGCCCTGGCTCTCAACAAGGCCCGTGGATGCCTGGGCCGGTCTTCTTCTGGTGGAGGCTTCTCCCCGTGAGGCTCCGAGTCCTCACCCAGCTTGCAGCACAGCCCAGATTCCCAGGCTGTGGTGTAGCCGTGGCAAGTTTAAATCTGGGTGTCGGGGGCCAACAGGGTTGTTCTCTGAGCTCCCCATTTACCCTGACTGGACAATTGGTGGAGCCTGGAGGCCTTTTCCCAAGCTTGTGACATCCTCCAGTCACTTCCTGAGGGATATTGTCATCCCACTGCTTTCTGGCCTCTGTGGTTTCAGGTTAGAAATCTCACGTCAATGTTATTGAGGACGGATCCTTGGTTAATAATGACGCAAGCCTTGCATCTTTCTAGATGCTTTCAAAATTCTCTCTGTCTTTTTTCTGTGTGTGTGTGAGGAAGATCAGCCCTGAGCTAACATCCATGCTAATCCTCCTCTTTTTGCTGAGGAAGACCCGCTCTGAGCTAACGTCTATTGCCAATCCTCCTTTTTTTTCCCCAAAGCCCCAGTAGATAGTTGTATGTCATAGCTGCACATCCTTCTAGTTGCTGTATGTGGGACGCCGCCTCAGCATGGCCGGAGAAGCGGTGCATCGGTGCGCGCCGGGATCCGGGCCCAGGCCGCCAGTAGTGGAGCGCGCGCACTTAACCGCTAAGCCACGGGGCCGGCCCCTCTCTTTGTCTGTTGATGGTTTTCTTGTGATGTGTATAGATGTAGATCTCTGATCAACAGATTTAATGCAGTCCCTATCAAAATCCCAATGACTTTTTGCAGAAATAGAAAAATCAATCCTAAAATTCATGTGGAATATCAAGGAACCTCAAATAGCAAAACAATCTTGAAAAAGAAGAAAAAACTCATACCGCTGATTTCAAAAGTTACTACAAAGCTACAGTAAACAACACACTGTGGTACTGGCAGAAAGACAGAGATATAGACCAACAGAAGAGAATAGAAGGCCAGAAACAAACCCTCATATAGAGTCAAATGATTTTGACACGGGTGCCAGGACCATTCAATGGGGAAAGGACGGTCTTTTCCACAAATGCTGCTGGGAAATCCGGATATCTTAATGCAAAGGAATGAAGTTGGACCTTCACCTAGCACCATTTACAAACATTAACTCAAAATGGATCAAAGACGTAAATGTTGAGTTAAAACCAGAAAATTCTTAGAAGAAAATATAAGAGAAAATGTTCCGAACACTGGATTTGGCAGTGACTTCTTGGATATGACACCAAATGCATAGGAAAGAAAAAAACATAGGCAAATTGGACTTCATGAAAATTAAAAAATATTTGTGCATGAAAAATCATCAGCAGAGTTAAAAGGCAACTTACACAATGAAAGAAAATATTTACACATCATATACAGTCAAGTGTCACTTAAGGAAGAAGACACATTCTGAGAAATGTATTTTTAGGTGATTTCGTCTTTGTGCAAACATCATAGAGTTTCTTACACAAACCTAGATGGTATAGCCTACTACACACCTTGGATATATGGTACCACCTTATGGTGCCCCGTCTTAAGGGACCATCGTCATACATGGGGTCTGTCATTGACCGAAACGTCCCTATGTGGCACATGACTGTATCTGAAAAGGGATTCATATCTAGAATATAGAGAGAACTTCTATAACTCAAAACAACAAGAATAACAACAAAATACACAACCTGCTTCTAAAATGGGCAAAGGACTTGAATAGACATTTCTACAAAGAAGATACACAAATGGACAATGAACACATGAAACGATGTACCACATCACTCATCATTAGGGAAATGCAAATCAAAACCACAATGAGATACCACCTCACATCCATAGGATGGCTACTATCATCAAAACAGACAATAGCAAGTGTTGGTGAGGGTGTGGAGAACTGGAACCACGTGCACTGCTGGTGGTAATGCAAAATGGTGCAGCTGCTGTGGAAAACAGTCTGGTGGTTATATATCCACCAAATGAATGCAGAGTCTCAAAGCGATGCTTGTGCCCTAGGTTCACAGCAGCATTGTTCACCATAGCTGAAAGGTAGAAGCAACCCAGTGTCCATCGATGGAAGAAGGGATAAGCAAAATGTGGTCTGTGCATACAATGGAATATTATTCAGCCTAAACAAGGAAGGAATTCTGACACATGCTACAACATCGATGAACTTGAGGACATCAGGCTGAGTGAAATATCAGTCACAAAAGACAAAGACTGTATGATTCCACTTATGTGAGGTCCCTAGAGCAGTCAAATTCAGAGACAGAGAGTAGAGGGGTGGTTGCCAGGGGCTATGGGGAGGGGGAATGGGGAGTTATTGTCTGATGGGGACAAGGTTTCAGTTTTGCAAGATGAAAAGAGTTCTGGAGATGGATGGTGTGATGGTTGCACAACAATATGAGAACTTAATAGCATTGAACTGTACACTCAAAAAGGATTAAGATCACAAATTTTATGTTGTATGTATTTTTCTACACACAAACACAAAATGTAGATACTCAAAAAGACTACGACCATTTTGCTGTAGGAGCCAAAAACCAGGGCAGTGGCCTGTGCAGTAAAAAGCTTATTCAGTAGCTCTGGGATTGTCCATCCCTGCACATTCCAAAAAAAATGCCTGGCCAATGAGAAGTTCTGGGGAAACATCCTATACGCCCTTGGGATGCCCTGCCTGACAAGAGTGTCTCTGTACCTGGAATCTGGGGTCACACCACACAGTTTCTGCCAACAATGTGATTGGGGGGGCTTGGGCCACACTGTGTGACCCTGAGAGGGGCTAGAGACGGAGCAACTGAGGTCAGCCATGTGACACTCTCAGTAAAGTGACTGACCCCCAACAAAATCCCTGGACACCCAGACTCAGGTGAGCTTCCCTGGTGAGCAATACTCTGTGTTGTGTCACTCATCATTGCTGGGAGAACTGAGCACTGTCTGCATGAATCCTCTGGAGACACAGCTGGAAGCCTGTGCCCACTCTTTCTGAACTCCACCTATGTGCCTTTGACCACTGCTGGTTCTATCTGGATCTTTCTCTGGAAAGACCATAACAATGCGTATAACAGCTTTTCTGGCTCCTGAGAGGCCTTCTAGTGAATCCCTGAACCTGAGGGTGCTCACCCAGCCAGGGATCGGGCTGATTCCTATCAGAAGCCCATTCACATGCCTCCCACTCCCTGATACCCAGGAGTCAAGGACTTAGTCACCAACCAGGGCAGCCAGTGCTGGGTCTCCATGGGTGACGAGGCCGTAAGCTGTCACCTTCTGAGCCTCAGTATTCCTGTCTCTCAAATGGGGTCAAATGCCAGGTGAGGCTGGGTCAGGGAGGGGTAGAGGCTGGCCTGGGGAGGCTGCTGAGGCCGAATCACTGGCTGTGCCTGGTCACGGGGCCAGAGTGGGACTCAAGCCAGGTTGGAGCCATCAGACTGGTTTATTATACATCGGGAATCTATGAGGAGCAGGTTGGGGGCTTGGTGACCCCCTCTAGCGGGGCACAGCACACAGCTGGTATGGGGACGGGGACACCTGTACACCAGAGACACCGTGGTCGCTGGGGCGGGGCTGCCCAGCGGGCACCGAGAAGCTGAAGCGCTGCAGGAGGCAGGTGAAGAAGAGGAAGAGCTCCATGCGGGCCAGGGGCTCCCCGAGGCACAAGCGGCGGCCTGTGGGTGCATATGAGGGGGTCAGTGAGCCTGGGGGACTGGGCTCAATGCCTCCAAGACTCCCTCAGGAGGGGGCAGCGAGCCAGGCTCCCCACAGGCACCTGCTGAGAAGGGCATGAAGGCCTCCTGCTTGATGAAGCGGCCCTGGGCGTCCAGGAAGTGCTCGGGGTGGAAGCGGAAGGGCTTCTTCCAGACGGTCTCGTCCTTCAGCACCGATGACAGGTTGGTGATGAGCATCGTCCCCTGGCAGGAGATGCCTGGCCTGGGTAGGGTCTGGGCTGGAGGACCCCCCGACCCCTGCCACCAAGCACAAATGGGCCACACTCTGTGCCTGGCACACGCCTGGACTCTTTCAAGTCAGTCTCAGCCCAAGAGCTTCCCCCAACTCTCCCCGTCCCCATGGCAAGGCCAAGTGATGTGTCTCCCATAGTCACCCTCTTTGCCACCTGTCCCGGCATGCATGGCTGCTCCAACTGTGGCAAATTTTGGTTTGTCCTCCCCTACCCAGACTGCGGGCTCTGAATGGACCTGGCCCGCCCTGCCTCTGCTTCCTCCCCACACCCACCCAGGCTGGAGAGTTGGTGCCTGTGGAAATGAGGATCAGGTGGCCTGGGTTCCAGTCCTGGTCACACTTGGCAATGGCCACGCTGGGGCTCCAGGGGGCAGGTGGAGCTGAGCTGGGGTGAAGAGGGCCGCAGGCCTACCTTGGGGATGAGGAAGCCCGGCACTTCAATGTCACAGGATGTCATGTGGGGCAAGCCCAGTGGGATGATGTCCCCAAAGCGCTGCACCTCATGGACCACGGCCATGGTGAAGGGCATGTGGGCCTGGTCCCCCATCTCTGGTCGCCGCGCCTGCCCTATCACCTCATCGATCTCCTGTTGGACACGGCCTGGACAGACAAGCGTCCCCGCAGTGGTCAGAACCCAGGGGGCTGGTCCCCGACCTCCTCCTGACTCCTGTGCAGGGGCTGTGCCCACGGGGAGGAGGAGGTCACTCTGACCCCGGAGCCAGGGCCCAGCCTCTGCTCAGAGCTCCTGGTGGACTACATAAGCTCAGGGCCCCCAGCCTGGCCCTCTCCTCCCGGCTCCCCAGCTGGGCTCACACTGCACATCCGGGTGCAGGATCATGAGCAGGAGGGCCCAGGCCAGCGTGGTCGAGGTGGTCACCATCCCAGCAAGGAACAGATCAGCCACCACCAGGCGCAGGTTCTCGTCATTGAAGCTGCTCTCGGGGTTCCCCTTGGCCTGGGCCAGGCGGAGAGGGTGGGCTCAGGGGCAGAGGGAGGAGCCCCCAAACTATCTCCCACTCTGTACCCATCAGCCCAGGTGCTGGATCACTGGGTGATACACAGGCTCCACCTTTCCCAGGCTCACCTCATAGGCCCCCAACCCACAACCACTGTCCTCATCCCTGGCAGCTCACCTTCTCCACCTCATCCAGGAAGGCATCAGTCAGGTCTCGGGGAGGCTGGGCCGGGTTCTGGGTCATCCTGTGCTCAGCAATCAGCTCATCAATCAGCGTCATGAAGGCCCTCTGCTTAGGAAAGACCTTGGCGACCAGCCGCGGGATGTGCAGGAGTACGGGGATGGCGTTCAGCACCTGTGTTGGCCACAGATGTGGGGCCCTGGGTCTTCCCTGTGCTCAGGTGTTCACCTCCACCAGTCAGGTCCCAGCCCCTCCCTGGGTGTCCCCACCAGCAACCTGGTTCCTCCCCATGTTCCGACTATGACCTTCTTTCCTGGCCTGGTCCCCAAATGTATAAACCAGAAATCTACGTCTCATGGATTCTGGAGGCTTCCAGTGAAGGAGGTACAGGTTCCTTAGCCCTCTCCTGGGGCCCGCTGACCCAAACACCTCTATCCAAATCCTCCTCCGCGGAGGCCCATTGCAGGTGGAGGTCTCCTCCATGGAACTTGCCGACATGGCTCCTGGGGGCCCTCTACCCTAGTACCTCGGGCACGAAGCCAGAATTTTCCTTCAGTCCTTCTTCCGCGAGGTCCAATAGCTTGATGAAACGCAGGTCGTTGTACTCGAAGCGGTGCCCGAAGGTCAGGGAGGCGATCACGTTGCCCACCGCTTTATTCAGGAGGGCGTTGGGGCTAAAGGGGCGTCCTGGGAGGGGACGGTGCAGGTCAGGGGGTCGCCTCCATCTCCTCTTCCCCAGCCTCCATCCCTGTCTCCTGTCCCTCAGCCCAGCACTCACCGGCCTGGTCTGCGAAGGCGGCGCAGAGGCACGAGGCCTCCTCGGTCACCCACTGCTCCAGTGACTTCTTGCCCAGGCCGAAGTTGCGCAGGGTGGACACGCAGAAGCGCCGCTACTCCCGCCAGGCGCGCCCATAGCGGGCAAAGATCCCCCCTGGGGGCGGGGCGGATGTGGGCGTGGCTCGGGTGAGCCCTGGCCCCGCCTCTGCACGCACACCAAGCAGATGGGCTCGCCTGCCCTTCGGTCTACGCCTGGGACATGCCCGGGACCTTTACCTGCTCACATAGTATTGCACTCCGCTTCCCCCACAGTATGCTTCTCCTCCGCATCACCACTAAATTCTGCCTGTTTTACACCTCCTTCCGGCTGAGGTCGGGTCCCACCCTCTGCCCTCCAACCTTGCTCCTCAGCTCTCGCCACTAGGGGAAGGTCTTTGCCCCGCTGTCCTCTAAGCGGCTCTTGACCTCTTCGGTTCAAGGAAGGTCCCGGCCCGCCGCCTGATCCGCCCACATGGACTCCACCCTCCTTATTCCCGCCACCCAGACATCCCCATCCTGCTCCCAGTGGCCCGGCCCCGCCCACTCCCGCAAGGCCCCGCCCTCCGCCGCGCCCACACCCCTCTCCCAGCGATGGGCACATGCTTCTTCCTCCACCTGCCGCCCCTACAGCAGTTTTTTTCTTGTTGTTGTGAGGAAGATCAGCCCTGAGCTAACATCCATATTAGCTAACATCCATGCTAATCCTTCTCCTTTTTTTTCCCCAAAGCCCCAGTAGATAGTTGTATGTCATAGTTGCACGTCCTTCTAGTTGCTGTATGTGGGACGCGGCCTCAGCATGGCCGGAGAAGCGGTGCCTCGGTGCGCACCCAGGATCAGAACCCAGGCCGCCAGCAGCAGAGCCCGCGCACTTAACCGCTAAACCACGGGGCCAGCCCTGCTGCCCCCCTACAAATTCACTGACTCTTCCCTGCAGCGCAGGTCCACCACTCAGCCTGCGCTAGGCCCTTCCGGGTCTCAGGTCACTGTGGGCCCAGTCCCCGTGGGGCCGCGGTCCTCCCCCCCTCTGCTTGCCTTCCGCGTGGGGCCCAAAGCCCAGGTGCTCGAAGATGGGCACAGGTGGGCAGTCGGAGGTGTCGTCGCTGCGGTCCACCAGCGCCTGGCGCATGGCCGCCAGCCCGTTGAGCACGACTGTGGGCGTCCAGGCCAGCTGCAGGCTGAACACATTCCCGAAACATCGCCGCAGCTGCACGCCAAGGGTCAAGGGTGTTCGACAAGCCTGGCCCACCCCCAGGCTGCAAGTCCCAGTCTCCTGGGACAACCCTTTAGGGGACCCTTGGGCAGCCAGCAGAGGGGGAGTTCAAGGACCTTATCTGGCCTTGTGACGCTGGTGGTCACATCCTCTATGGTTGAGGACCTCAGGTTGAATCAGAGCATCCAAATGTGACTTTGCAGAGGTCACCAACATTGCCAGTAGGCCAAGTTAGCATCCCATTTTACAGGTGACGAAACTGAGGTTCACGGAGGTGAGCACCGAGGCCCAAGGTCTCACAGCAGCAAAAGATTCGACCCTGGTCACCGTCCCTTCTCAACCTCGATTTCCTGATTTCAATGGGGCTCATGACCAGACTCCTCTCCCCCAATCTCAAGATATTTCCTCCTATTGTCCTCACAAGGGACTCAGGCTTCACACAACTGAAGCTCTGTCCAACTGCATCCCAAACCCTCTGCCAAGTCCCACCCCCTCCAGGCCTTTGCCCTCTCTGACCTTCGATAGGAAAATTCATACTGTCCTCCAGGCCCTGCACAGATGCCCTCCCCCAGGAGGCCTCTCAAACCTGCCTCCTCCTTTCCCCCCAGCTCCCTGTCCAGCCTGTGGCTTCACCACCACCCACTGTCTGCTGCTAGGTGGGGTCCCCAGGACCTCTGTGCCCACCCCCCCACCTTCCTCACCCGAGTAAAGCAGCAAAGCGTGTCGTGGAAATCCACCTGCAGCAGGTTGCCCAGCCCAGGCAGGGGCATGGGGCCTGGTGGGTAGCGTGGTGCCCAGCGTTGGCGTCGGTGCATCAGGTCCACCAGGAGCAGGAAGATGGCCATGGCCACGGCCAGGGGCCCCAGTGTCTCCCCGGTCAGCAGCCCCATGGCTGCCTCACTGGGCACTGGGCTCCTCTGGACACACTGGCACCCTCACCACACCAGGACCTAGGACCAGGCCAGACAGGGCGCTCTCACCAACCCTGAGGGTTTGACCAGCCTGGCCCATCTTTATAAAGGGAGCTGAGACTGGCCTTTGCCCTCTGCCCTGAGCCTACCTGTTGGCATGACTGCTGCCACAGGGTGCAGGGAGGGCCCAGGGAAGGTCAGTGCAGGGCTGGCCGCAGAATCCTCTCCCTGATGCCCTCTCCAGGTGCTTAACCTTGGTGGGGGAGGGAGAAAAGGGAAGTCCCCACCCCCAGCCTGATTCTCCAGCATTGCACAGGCTCCGAGGAAGGGGTCTTTGGACTTGATGTCCCCCCACATCATGTCAGGCTCACACTCCCTAATGTGGTCAAAGCCTCATCCCCAGAACACATTCTTGCCTTCCCATGTCTCACCTGCCTCCTCTTGAGTGACCTTCACCTCTCAGGTACTAGCTTGTGCTGTAGGGAGGTCACAATGATCAGAAGGACACAGGGAGTTTGGGGGGGATGAGTCCTCCGTGTCCCTCACTTCACACTAGTACATTCAATACCCAGACACAGAATTCAACACTCACAAACCACTCACACATTCAGACACTACCCACACGCTCACAGACTGACACCTAAGCACATGTACACACATTTACACACCCACAAAACCACACACAAACACACATATTAATACGTGCAGCACTTACACGCACAGACCCGGCATCAGGGCACCTGTTCTCAGTGGTTGCCTGGAGCCGACCCCGCTGCTCCCCACACGGAGGCTGCTGGCAGTGATCTGAGAACATTCCTGGCTCAGCTTCCATGGTTACCACCTGGTCGTGGCCTTTGCAAGTTTAAATCTGGGTGGGGAGGCAGCAGGCTTATTCCCAGAGCTCGCTAGTCACACAACCACCCAGTTCAGAGGCCAGGAGACTCTTCCTAAGTTGGTTCAAACTGGTCCTTGACCTCCTCGCTCTGGAGGCCACTCAGGTGGTGAATCTCCTCGTGCCTGTGTCCACTTTCCTGACTCAGAGACATGTGGGGTGGGCACTCGCCCTTGTTGACTGAGCTGCCAGGAAGCTCAGGGGACTAGGGTGGCTTAGCATAGGATGTGACTGTCCCCAGAGGAGGGGGCCTGCTTCCTCCTCCTCATTATCATTTGTCCTTGAACATCAGCTGCTCAAACTCTTTCTAGAAGACAAGGGGATGGAAAGCAAGTAGGGATGATGTAATTTCTTTACACCCTCGCAGGCCTGCTGAGGACCACAAGGAATAGATCTCAAGCCTCCCCCTTTGCTGGCCTCCTCCCTCTCCCTGGGCCACGACACGCCTATTAGAATGGTCAAATCCAGAACACTGAGAACACCAAATGCTGGGAGGATGCGGAGAAACAGGCGGTCTCATACATTGCTGGTGAGAATGCAAAATGGCACAGCCACTTTGGAAGACAGTTTGGCGGTTCCTTAAAACTCAACATTCTTACCATATGATCCAGCAATCACACTCCTTGATATTGACTCAAAGGAGTTGAGTATGTCCACAAAGAAACCTGCACAGGGATGTTCACAGCAGCTTTATTCAAAATTGCCAAACTTCAGAAGCAAGCAAGATGTCTTTCAGCAGGTGAAGGGATAAACTGTGATACATCCCAACAATGAAACATTCTTCAGCACTCACAAGAAATGAGCCATCAAGTCGTGGAAAGCCTTAAGTCTCTATTACCAAGTGAAAGAAGGCAATCTGAAAAGCCTACATGGTGTAAGAGTTCACTTAAATGACATTCTGGAAAAGGGAAAACTATGGAGATAGAAAAACGATTAGTGTTTGCCAAGAGCTGGGGGGAGGGAACAGGAGGACACAGAGGATTTTCAGAGCAGTGAAACTTCTCTGTATGATCCTATCATGGTGGATATATGTCAGTGTACATTTGTCCAAACTCATAGAATATACAGCACCAAGAGTGAACCCTGATGTAAACTATGGACTCTGGGTGATGATGATGTGCGTATGTGGGTCCCGGCCCCGCCCCCTGCCCTGGTCTCACAGTCCTGCCCCTTTGACAGGCCCGCCCTGTACACCTGCTCAGACAGTCCCACCTCTTTGGGTGAGGCCCACCCCCTGCCAACCCGCCACCACCCACTGCCTTGTCCTCCCCCGCCCTCAGTCCCATCCACTTTGACCCCGCCTTCCAACAGCAAAAGGATCCTGGCCCCGCCCCCTGTCATTGCTCGCACAGTCCTACCCTCTTTCCCTACAGGCGGGGTCCTGTGACAGGCTCACACTCCTCCTGCACCAACTCTGGTACAGGCTCCTTCCTCCATGCCCTGGGCCCACCATTCGCTAGTCTTTCTCTGTGCCCCACATTTGAGACCCACGTAGGTTAGGCCTGGCTTGTCTCGGGTCACTGCAGGCCCAGTACCGCTGGGACAGGGTCTGCCCCTCCTCCGTTTGCCTTGTGTTCCGCCCCCAGCCCAAGTGTGGCGACTGAGGAGCAGAGAGCAAGTCCTCGCTGTGGTCCACCAGCGCCTCATGTATGGCCGCCAGCCACTGAGCACGACCACGGGTGTGCAGGCCAGCTGCAGGCTGAACACGTCCCCGAAGTGGCACCGCAACTGCACACAGAGGGTCAAGGGCGTTGGTCAACCAGACCCCACCAGGCTGCAGGCCCCCCGTCTCCTGGCGCTAGCCTTGGGGGAGACCTGGGACCCCACAGAGCATGTGCAAAGACTTTATCTGGCCTCATGACCACACCTGTAGGGGATGGCAGGGAGAAAGAGAGGGCTGAGGGTCTCCATTTGTCCTGGGCACCTCACACTGCACACTTGACACACACAGACAGACACACCTAATCACACACAAACCACTCATCCATTCCCAGACTCTTACTTTCAAGCTCACTCGTGCACTCACACACACAGACCCACCACACAGAAATCTACATATGCACAAAGCCACCCACACTCAGGCAACACTCACATGAACACACAAACTCACACTTGCACTCAAGGTGCACAGATTCTCACACACACACACGCAGACCCAGCACCAGTGTCCTGGTTCTCAGTGAGGCCCGTGGACGCCTGGGCGGGACCTCTTCTGGTGGAGGCTGCTCCCTGCGGGGCTCAGGGTCCTCACCCGGCTTGCAGCACAGCCCAGATTCCTAGGCTCTGGTGTAGCCGTGGTAAATTTAAATCTGGGCATCAGGGCAACAGGGTTGTTCTCTGAGCTCCCCATTTATCCTGACTGGACAATTGGTGGAGCCCAGAGGCCCTTTCCCAAGCTTGTGACATCCTTCAGTCACTTCCTGAGGGATATTGTCATCCCATGGCTTTCTGGCCTCCGTGGTTTCTGATTAGAAATCTGACGTCAATGTTATTGAGCACAGATCCTTTGTTCATGATGAGGAGCATCTCACATCTTCCTTGCTGCTTTCAAAATTCTCTCAGTCTTTGACCATTTGACTGTGATGTGTGCCAGTGTAGATCTCTGATTTTATCCCACTTGGAGTTCACTCAGCTTCTTGGATGTGCATATTAATGTTTTTCATCCAGTTTCGGGAGTATTCAGTATTCAATATTTCTTCAATATTCCTCTTATTCCTTTACCTCTCTCTTCTTCTGCTAGGACTCCCATTATGTGTGTGCGGTATGCTTGATGGTGCCCACAGGTTTCTGAATCTCTGCTCATGGTTCTTCACTCTTGTTTCTTTTCCTCAGCCTGGATCAGCTCAGCTGACTGTCCTCATGTTCGCTGATTTTTCTTCTTCCTGTTGAAATCTGCCCTTGAGTTCCTGCAGTGAACTTCCATTTCACTTATTGTACTTTTCAACTCCAGAATTTCTACATGGCTCCTTTTTAAAATTTGGGTCTCATTACAGCTATTCTTTAATAGGTGAGACATCGTGCTCCCACTCTCCTTTATTTTTTAGACGCGGTTTCTCTTAGTTCTGTGAACATATTGAAGTAGCTGATATGCAGTCTGTGTCCAGCAACTCCACCATCAAGGACAGTTTCCATTCATTCCCTTTTCCTATGTATGGGCCATACTTTCCTATTTATTTGCATGTCTTGTGATTTTTTTTTTGAAAATTGTACAATTCAAAGAAGATATTGTGGTGACTCTGGAAATAGATTCTCTTTGCTCCCCAAGGTTTGTGTCGTGGTTGTTTGTTATCATTGTAGTTCTTTCTATGCTTAGTGACTTTTCCAAACTGATTCTATAAAGTCTCTATTCCTTGTTCTGTGTGGCCACTGAAGTGTCTACTCAGTTAGTTTCGTCGTCAGCTAATGATTGGTTA